GAGCCCTCAACTGTTTATGGGTCTTCCGGTGACTTACAGGAGCAAATGAGCTCCTGCCTATGTGTCATTTATTTTTTAATTGGCAGGTGCTAGAAAGGGTTCAGATAACTCAGTGATGTAGAGTCCCTTAAAATAACTTGTCATAGAGTCGAAATAGCACTCTTGGTGAGTAGCTCTTCATGAACACTGACTGAGAGTCATACTCCAGTCACCACACGCGACCCATCATTTATGACTTGTAGAGCACAGCTGGTTGTGAGTGACCCCTGATGAATCGTCTTTATGGAAGTTGAGCAAGTAACTTACAGGCTTGTTGCTCATGAATTCCTTCTTCACACTACATGAGATGCAAAAAGCTGCTCAGAATTTAATAATCATAGGGTGGCGTAACAGACTTTATGAAAAAGGGATAATGGAGAAATGAAGCCATGCAGAGTCCATCAGAGAACAGCGAATTTCAAAACAACCCTTGGTTTTATTAAAAATTTATGTATTCATGTTTAGTGTGCTTTGAAATAAATTTGCATTTTATAAAAAATGGAATATATTTTCAAAATAGTTTATCCAGGAAATACCACCTCAGAAAATTCACTTATATGCTATGATAATTTCAAATAGGTTATGTAATAAAGTTGACATGCTTGAGTATTAAATTGTTTTTCCCTAAGTTACTCATGATAGCATCTTATCTTTAGGATATGATGTGACTCCTGAGCAGAGCCTTCTTAAAAAACACATGGCACTTTAAGCTCTTTTAATTTGAATATACCCTTTCTTAATTGCTATCAAACAAATATGTGTAATACATTTCCTGAAAGTGCACATACTGAGAGAGGTAAGAGATTGAAAAAAAATTTTTTGCTTCTAAAATAATCTTACATGCTCAATGGCCCATCATGTGAAATTTTGGCTTACCGACTTGTAGTTTCAGTTTTCTGACAAGGTACTTCTGTTATTAAACCACACAGTATTTTTCTGGAATATTTCCTATCTCAATAAAGTGGAGTTCTAAGTTAGACTCTCAGGGGAATTTAACTATTATTTAATTGGGTGGTCTGCACACTGAGGCCCACGTGCCAACCAGCTGTCAGGGAAGTTCCATCAGAGCCCAGAGGCCTCTCACTTCAGCCTCGTCAGTCACAGCTTGTCCTCCAGGGCGACAGAGCCCAGCGGCTACAGCAGAGACCATGGAGCCCATGAGCTTGAAACACTAACTATTTGGACCTTTAAGAAAAGGATTTCCAAGCTCTGATCTAGTCTATCTCTCACATTTCATACAAGACAAAACACAAAATATTTAACATTTTTGTTACTTTTTGGGACCGTACCAGGGGAATAGATTATCATATTATTAAATCTTAAACCCTTCCCCAAATATGTGCTGGTTTGCTTTACATTAATAAATATGTAAGGAAACAGCCTTATATCTCTTTGTATTAAAATAAGGTTGAACGAGTATGTCTGGTGGAAAAGAACATTGATTCTCTGGTCTCTCTCAAAGATCTGAATATAAAAGGCTCGTGGAATGTACAGACACTTAGTATTTAATGAATTTAAACATTTTATGCAAACTGAGTTATGATCAGAAAAGAGGAAGGATTTCAAAACAGACTAGTCACATGCAATGAAGAAACATTTCTCCCTCTTTATTGTAAAAAAATGCAGTAAGGAGGCATAAAATAAATCAACCACATAATTCTTCTTGTAATCCATCTCTTTTCTTCACTTGAGTAATGACAAAAAAAGAAGAACCATGTACCTGCAAGAGTAAGTGGAATCTTCCTCAGCTAAATGGTCAGCTAACAACTTTACCATGAGTTGACAAAGGCCATACTTTAAGGAAGCCTGTAGAAGCATTTGACTCCAACATGCCCTAAAGCCAAGAAGTAGAGGGGACAGTTCATATTTCAAGACTTCTAATGGCAAGTAAAATTATGGTAAAATTCTACTGTAGAGTTCGTTAATGGCACCCAGTGGAGCTGGGCAGTGCCCAGCAGGTGTGAGTAGAGGTTAGACTGCTGTTTCTGAAGTACTGGTACTTGCATTTTTAATGCCAGAGCAAGTCTTGTGACAGAAAATATATAACATTGTAACAGAGTCATCCCTTATGTAAAAGTATTTTTTATCACTAAATATTTGGGGTTCTTAATCACGTGTTTTCATTCAGTGAAATCCAGATGCGGTAGAACTACCCCCTCATTGTCATCAGGATCACCCCGATTCTGTCCAGCACAGAACCCTCTCTTATGTAATACGAGATGTGTTTGTAAGTACACAACATTTAAAGCAAAGGCAGTTAACATCGTTTATTTGTATCATCCTAGTCTTTTTCTTTTTAGAATAACTTCACTGATGTATCATTTACAGACAATGAGATGCACCCATTTCAAGTATGGGGCTTGCTGAGATTTGGTAAACATGTGCACCTTTGCGACCGCCAGCACAATCCAGTGTTGGAACATTCGTATCAGCTCAGAAATCTCTCCTCTCTTCGCAGTTACCTCTCCACATACACAGACAATTACTGCTCTGCTTTCAGTTCTCACAGATTATTTCTGTGAGCAGTTCTAGAAATTCTCCCGAGTGGAATGACACTGTACACACATTTTTTAACCTGCATTATTTCACTCAATGTAATGATTTTTTAGATTCTTTTCTCTTTTTGCTAGTATAAGTATTTTAATTTTTTTTATTGTTGGTGTCATTCTATTGTATGGATGTACCGTATTTGTTTACCCATTCACCTACTGATGGGTATTTGATTGTTTTGAATTTATAGATATTAGGACTAATGCCATTATGGACTTTCAGGTAAAGTCTTTTCAAAGATAGATGCTTTCATTTCTTTTTGGTAAGTAAAGAAGAGTGGGATTTCAGGATTGAGTATTCATCTGAAGTTTTATCCTACATTTTTCTGCCAGAGAGCTGTGTTCTCTATACTTAGTATTCCTCACATCTATGTTCTGATTTGTATCAATGCCTATTTAAGCAAAATAGGGTTAAATATGCATACACCAATATATGTATAAAATTCATTACAAGTGAGAAAGTATTTGCAAAACATTCCCTCTGTTCTAGTGATTACTCACCAAAATAACACTGTTAAAATCCTCAGAACAAAATTCAAACCTAGGAAACACTGATTATACAAGTTCTTTTACACGAACTCCCCTTTATTTGAGAGGAGTCACAGAACAACTGAAGCTTGGGGTTATGAATAGAAAAGGTCGGCCCCAGCATGAGAGAAATGAAACTCTCCGAGCTTCCTAGAGTCGTGGTGACACATTTTTCGTGACCTATGTGGTGTGAAACCTTACTTGTTATAATTCTTGCCAGGAAGAGGAAAGAATGTAACCAAAAGATCTGTGAGAAGATAACATAAAATTTCGACTCTCAAGATGACATGAGTTTAAAGGTCTCATGCCCTAAAAGACAGCTTAGTTGAACACTAGTGCTTCTTAAAAACCACAGAGATCCCTAAAACGTGGAACACACATTATGAGTCAAAGTAAAATAATGTACGCAGGAATAACTAACAAAGGAGAACTTAGGCATCAAGGTGGTCAGAAATCAGCAAGGGAGATTTTACCCTATAAGCAAGCTAACAAGTTCTTCTGCCACAGTCTCCTGGCTTCTGGCAGAATACACAAGTCCTTCTGGTAAACTGGTGTTCAGAGATCCAATTTCCAAAGAGGGAAGGGGTCCCCCACACTTCCAACAAACAATTCTCAGACACCATCAGGGTGTCTGAGAATTCAACTCATTTCTGACACCATGTACCCAGAGGTATCTTCGGATTTCACAGATTAAGAGTTCAGTTCTACAGGACTGTTTCCCCACCCTTGTACTTCAGCGGCTAGCTGAAAGCCCGGGCTGTTATCTATGCTTCTGACCAACTGACTATACATCAAAGGTTTGCATCACCTGCTCCTCGGGTTCAATTACTTTGCTAGAGTGGCTTACAGAGCTCAGAGAAGCATTTTACTTACTACATCACTGGTTTGTTACAAACAGTTATAACTCAGGAACAGCCAGATGGAAGAGATGTACAGGGCAAGGAATGGAGAAAGAGCTTATAGCTTACATGCCCTCTCCCAGCTACCTGGCCACTGTCTCCAAATGCCCCAGGGTTCACCAACCCAGAAGCTCTCTCAACCTCATTTGGGGCAGAGGTGGCTTATGGAGGTTTTACTTACTACATTTGCATGATCAATTAAATCATTGGCCACTGGCAATTAATTCCAACTGTACATTCAGGAATGAGGGAACTGATTCCAGTGGCTCACTGTGAGCTGGACTTCAATTAGGATTCTGTTTATTACCTGACTGACAATGGCCCACACTCTGAAGACTTACTGCAATGGTGTGCTTTTAAGCTTTGGGCATCAAAGTCAACGCAGACCCTGTGTTCTGTAGGGGCATACCTCATTTTATTTCGCTTTGTTTTGTTACTCTTCACAAATGTTGCTTTTTTTTTTTTAATTAAAGGCAAGATCTTCCAGAAGCAAAAAGATTACAATGTGGCTTATTGCAACACTTGCTTTATTGGTGGTCTGGAACCAAATACCACTCTCTCAGAGGTATGCCTGTAACTATTGCCAAAGTGGACATGCACACAAGTAATGGCCATAGGCCCCTTTGGGGAAGGATTGTGGTTTAATCTCCCATGGCCTTGCAGGGCCCTTGCAGAGACCCAGCCATCACTGGCTCAGATATGGAAGAGCGAAGGAGCCTAACATTTAACTGAGGAGACCACCCTCACCATAATGCTCCACTGTTCTTGATTTTGACTTATTTGGTTTTGATTTTTAGTTGCAGATGTTAAGCAACACCCTATGCATTCACAGATGAGAATTTGAGCAAAGATTCCACATGACTCCTATGCAGATTTCTGGAATTCTTTCTCTGCTTTATTCCCTCCTGGCTCAGAATTTATCCTGCAAATTAAGATCAGTCACCTCTGTGTCCTCTGCCTCTAATCTTTGTCTCTTCAGTTTTGCAAGGCCAGTGTGCTTTGTCTGAGCCTGAGAAGGAGCACTGAAACAGGAAGTTGACCTCACGTGTCGCCCTTCTTACAACGACCACAGATCTGCGGGCCCTGATGTCCGATGTCTGAAAATAGGTGCGTTATGTGTTTTGTTCAGTTTTCTAAGTTGTTTCTGATGAGAGGTTATGTCCAAGCCCAGCTATTTTATGGCAAAAAGAGGAAAGTCCTGCCTTTAAACACTGATATGTATTTTTATCACAGTAATAAACTGATTTTTTAAATTTAATGATCTGTTTTAAAAGTTAAATTTATCTAATCAGTTTATGACAAGAACAGTGTAACATATGTATTTTTTAAATATTTTATGGTAAACATCCACCATGACTCATTTCCTCTTCCTTCCCTGGCTCCTCAGCCTGTTCGTAAGTATATAAATAGCCCACATTCACAGATTTAATGGGGCTTCAAATACCTGGAATTGATTGTAATGTCTCTCCCAGAATCTTTTCCTTTTGACGATATTTTATTTAGTCAGCTCTACTCCAAGCACCGTACTTGGGACTACACGTTATCACTAGAAGATTGAGTGAGCTTGCAAATGAACTCTACTCCCAAATGCTCCTTTCGCCCATCCACAGAGCCAGCCTCCAACCTCGCACATGTCAGTCAACAGGCTTCAGGTGTTTGTCTTCATTCTAATTGGTCACCTTGAGCATAAGTCAAGCTCTTCATCCCCAAAGAACTGATCTTCCCCTTAAAAAGCAGTACCTTTTGCTGAAATTCTGATATTTCGAATGACCCTCACTCGTTCTTTCTTTCAGTTTCTCTTCTCTGGGCTTGAGACCAACTTCCCACCTTCTCTGTCCTTAGAAGAGACCATGAAAAACAGGCTGTATTTAATTACTGGCTCTATCACTTTCTCTTCAGGTGACCTTGGGTAAGTCATGTGACATTTCTGAGTTTTTGTACTTCTCTGAAAAATGCTGTTATCAGTACCTGCCTCAAAAGATTATTTTGAGGATCGCACTTATAGAAGGGAAACACTTAGAATAGTACTGGGCATACAGTGAGCACTTGTTGAGTATCAGCCACTACTACTATTTCTCAGAATCATCAACACCTGGCTTCCAATGATCTGATCACCATGTGACTTCTAAGCTGTTATATATGCTGTGCCTGAGTCATGCCTTTAGATGCCTTCAGTTTCAAGAAATTTGGAAACCAAATTCAGACCTGACCCTGGCTCCAGTTGCCCTCTTCAAGTTGAGTGTCTGCAGCCAGGTCAGTGGCCTCCATCCCTGGGCCCTTCGTTTTCAGCTTGCTCTGTATAGGTTATGAGCCATGTGTCTCCGAGGCACCGGGCCACTTCCGTCCTAACCTGTAGCAATAACAATCACAAGGCCACCGCAAAGACAGCCTTTGGCTCCAGAAGTGGCAGCTAAGTCCCCAAAGTGTCAGCTATGATTGTATGCACTTTTAAAAAATGATGAGAACAGAGAATAAGAGGTGACAGGCAAGACAAGCAAAGACTTGTGTGTTCGGCCCTAAAAGGAAAAAGAAATAAGCAAAGAATTTATCTTGGTCAGAGCATGTTCTGAAAGAATGGTGTACAGACTGCAATAGATGTTTCCATAAACTAAACTGTAATTACACAATCTGTGACTTAGAGAAGAGACTCATTTGAGAATCAGGGACTTGGAGCATGACTATAGCTAAAATTTAGAGTCTGTGTACACAAATAAGTAAAATAAATCAGTCTTATTTTAATCATGAAACAGATATTTATATCCCAACTAAAAAGCGCTGACTTCTGCCTCAGGTAGAGGAATTATAAGTCAGTAATGCATCTTATAAATCAAGTGCATGAAGCCATTCACCATTTCCTGAGATTATAAATCAGTCATGTTCTCAAAGCAGTTGCCTACTTGGAAACAACTCCTTGGATGAATAAACTAGTCATTTCCAAGATATAGGAATAAGTGATATGACCCATGTAACACATGACTGCATGCTCATGCTTCATCAAAGAATTGTACTTATAATTAAAAAATTTTAAAACACTGATTGTGAACAACTGCTGAATTCTCATAGCACTACAAGATGATATGTAGAAGAAATGCAAAATTTTACCTGTGCCAAAAAGTGTTTTTCATCAAACAGCCAATCAGTATGTTTGCTAGTACTTTTGCTTGTAGTAACAGCTCATTGTCTTATATGGAAGATGTCAGCAAATACAAATAACTCACCAGACTCATATCTTTTAAACAGGTCCTTTTGAGCTATGTGGATAAAAATGTATCAACTATTGTAAAACTTGTTTTAAAAATCATTTTGAAAACAGTAAAGAAATAGTCATTGTAATTTAAATAAAAATAAACATTAATCTAGATAATTCTAAATACATGCTAATATTCCATTGGTACAGGTAAACTTTACTATATAGTACATATCATCATGTTTTATGTTTGCATAGCATTTTATACATTTATTATTTTCACTATCATTTTTATACTAGTTATTACCATTTACGAGATGAGGAAAATATCTGTAATGATTAAAAGCTAAAGCCACACGTTCTTCCCCACTACAATTCAGGATCTCTGTCTTCTATTTCATTATTCTTTCTCTTGCACCATGCCAGGTTTTCATGCATTTTCCTTCCATTTGAAGTGCATGGATAATTTTTAACCTTTCTATGAATACATAAAATTACCAGTTTGGGCTGCTTTCTACAGGTTCAGAGAAGTCACCCACATTATGAAGCACTTACCAACTGCTGGTTTTTAATTATAAAGTATGCATTTGTGCATCGTTACACGCCTGGCATGCGCTGAAGCCTGGATTTCATGTTTGTGATAACGTACGTCTCTTTTCCATATATACACCATTACAAGTTTAACGACTTTTGTCATGGAACTAAGGCCACTGTTGAATAGTGGAATTTCATATGTCTTCTGACTGTAATTCACCTGACTCATAATCACAAACTACTCATAAGTTAAGTCTAGGCAAATATCCACACATATTATCTGATGATCAGGCACTGTTCAAGAAATGGCAGGCCTCTCACTGAGTTTATCCCTATGACTAAATGTGGGTAAAGGTTCAAATATTTTGGTCTCTCATTATCAGACAGGTAGCTCGTGTAAAAGCAACTCAGAGTCTAGCTCGGGAAACAAATGTTCTACCTTCATAATTAGTACAATATTCAGTCTATATCATAACACTAATTCAAAGACATTTTTACTTATTGACTTGAGTATTAGTTTGACTGTAACTGTAAATGTCAGTTTTAATTTCATATTTTTTTCATTAATACTGATGTCTTAATTAGCTTACAGGCTGGTTTGACAACTTTTCTTCTTGAGAAGGAGAAAGTGAAGATTGTAGTACAGAATTTGCAACATCAATTTTAAAGCATGGCATTTAGAGTCATGCTGTTTTTGAGTTGCGGTTCAGTAATTTGCTAAAGAATGATAATAACCTGTCCATCACTCTGTGGAGGGATGGATATCAAACAGTCATTAAATCTTGTTTGGTTAGCATAATTATATGGGATTCAGCATTATTTCAGTTTATCAACAAAGTGAGTCACTTGGGAACCAAATGAACAACGTGATCTAAGGAAAGATTGTAGTCAGGAAGACAAGTTAATTCGATTTCAGGTTGGGTGGTGTTTTCAGGATCTCTCTTCTGGTCTCAGTTTCTCTGTCTTTAATTTGAAGATTGGATTTTCTCCTTCATGTTTCATGAGAATATGATAAGTAGACATTCATATAGTGGGTGTGCTCTGAGTTTTCAGTTAAGAGACAGTGGGTAAGTCTAAAAGTGTGTGATTGAGTCATGACAGGGTTCAGGGTTTCAAGATTTCACTGGGTGTACAGGTTCGGGGAAAATACTTTTAACATTCAGAATTCACTGCTTTTAAGGTTTCTTGGGAAAATCATGCCATTCACTTAAAAACTGCCTCAAGTACAGATTTACATTCCTCTTTTAATCCCCATTGTTTTTTCCTTGGTAGGGAAAGCATATAAGCCTGGTCTCTATCTTTGTTACACTGATAGGACAAGTGCGGTTCCCAACATGGTGATCACTGCCGCACCTCTCTGAAGTCTTTTGTTTTTTAACTTTTTATTTTTATTGTTGTTCAACACAATGGTCTCCATTTCCCCTCTACCACTTCCCCTGACCCCAGAAATTCTTAGTTTTGATGGAGTTCTTGGAGAACTTCTACGATAAGCTAAAACATGTGAGGTGCTAAGCATGTAACATACTCAACAAATACCAGTTAATTCACCAATTTTTTTAAAAAATATTTTATTTATTTATTTTTAGAGAGAGGGGAAGGGAAGGAGAAAGAGTGGGAGAGAAACATCAATGTGTGGTTGCCTCTCTTGAGTCCCCTGCTGGGAACTGGCCTGCAACCCAGGCATGTGCCCTGACTGGGAATCGAACCGCGATGCTCTGGTTCGCAGGCCCGCGCTCAATCCACTGAGCTACGCCAGCCAGGGCCTAATTCACCAATTTAATATAATGTTAGGTTGAAGGCTTTTAAAACAATAATATTAATAGGGAAATTAATATTAATAAAGTTCCATTTAGGTAAAATGTCCTCTGTCTAACTTGCTTTATGATATTTAGGCATTCCAGCATCTATGGCAGGATTGTATTTCTTAGGTCTCCATCTTCTCCACCACCCCCTGAGAAATAGACTATAAAATAATCCTTCTTTACCACTCCATCTGCACAGCCCTTCCTGTCCATCTGGATATCAGATGGAAGCAAAGAGATCCATGCCACTTTGAAATAACTGAGGTGGCCTGGGCAGCATTTCATAGTGCAATTTACAAAGCCAGTTCTAACATCCACATCTCTGTTTGAACTATTGGTAAGTGGCTAATGGAGGCCACATTTTCCTCCACAGTCAGTCTATTACCACATCTTTTAATTCAGTTTTCTTGAAGTCCTTTGAGAAAGCTAGAATAAAATTAAAATGTAAACAATGTCCTTTATCCTTCAGCAAAGTATATTATAGAATCATCTTCTTTAAGCCCTTGACCTTTTCCCAAGAAAACCATTTCCTTTGCCTATACTGAGTCAGCTTATACTTTCACATGAAATTTGTTATTCTTGGAATGCCTACTCAACACAGGGGGGAAAGGAAAATGGAGAAATAGGGGAGAAAAAAATCAAGAAGGGCAGCTTAGCTTCAAGAAAATCTTTAGAAATATAAGAGTAATAAATTTATCAGGCCTAAAAATTTGGATTTTTCAGATGTCTTTCCAAAATAATATTAATGCCTTAAGAAAAGTCTGACAGAATCCCTGAACAGATACTTTGGTAGTGAGCAGCACTGTTTCGGTTCTCCTTGTCTCAAGTTCATTACAGGATTGCACTGTCTGTGGAGCTATATAACTGGTCTGGCAAATGAAGTGCGAACAAAAGTGAAGAGAATCACTTCCAGGCTACAGAGTATTTACAGTGTTCTTTTCCCTCTAGCACAACAGACAAGATTCAAGATGTTGACTGACCAGATGGCCTGCATACCTGAATACCTATGACAAGCACCTGGTAAGGTGCAATTGTCCAGTAGCATGATCAAGAAATAAAGTTTTATTATTTTAAGGCACTGAGATATGAGGTTGTGTCTGATGATAGTGTAACTCATCCTATTCTGACTACTCCAGAACTCAACTTTGTTAAGAAGAATTAAAGAATAGTCCTCAGCAAGCACTTTTCAATGTTTCAAGGAAATTTTAACCTGTTTTCACTCTAGTTTTTAGACCTCGATTTGATGTTAAATAGTGATGGCTTAGACCCATATAATAATACTCATTAGATTTGTAGGGACAAAAAATTATTTTCATATAGTAATTTGTTATGCTTTAGTATTAAATATATCTATTTAGTCACTCTATTTACATGTAAAATAAGTTCATTTCAAGGTGGAAAATGTCTACCCTTATATAAAAGAATGGGTTCACCTGTCCTCAGGGGGCTGGTTGGCACCCCTAGGATATGCTATTATATCAGAAACTCACTATTGGTCTCTTTTAATGCAGTGTTTAGCACACTACAATGTAAGTAATCCAATAAAAACTTTAGTGAAAAGAAATGTGGAGTCCCTGTGCTATGTCCACTTTCATCTTGAGCCCAATGGGCATGAGCTGGAATGGTTAAAAAAACAATGAGATCCACAGTGTGAATCATAACAGGTCTCCCTGAATGAGAGTTCTCAGAAGAGGGGCCATCGGGTAATTATCTACATGGTAAACAAATTATCTCCATTCCAGTCCCATTTCAAGATCTCCATTTACATATCTTCTCCCCAAAGCTCCTTGTGACCAGTTTCATAAACTTCTTTTCAATTCTTTATCTGGCCAAAGAATTCTTTCTAGTGCATGAGTCACCACAGACCTGTATTTCTGACAGCCTCTCCAGTTACAAAGTTTTCCACTTTGACCTTCCTAATATAGACGAATGTTTTTCCCTCTGGTAATATAGATCGAGTAGGAAACTAATGGAATTCTCATCTCTTTCAGTTCTAGAAATGCCATGTACAATTAGTTACCACCAAAATTAACTGTAGATCAAAGCACTTTTATTACCACGTTGGCCCTGCTGCCTATTAGAGTAACTATTATTCTTGTCCCTTTTTATTGTGTTGCTACTTTGCCTCTGTCACTTAGAGATTCCATAATTCCAGTGAAATCAGAAAGTTTTTTTTCATGTTACCATTTCCCCCCTTCATTCATGGACTACAGAGAACAGATCCTATAGGGCTTTAGGTAATGTATTTTCCTACACTGACATATTTCTCAATTCTGGGCTAAAGAAAATAAAAATTAGACCCTGTAAGAAGTCAGAAATAAGGGCGAATGCACCAACTTTGCATAAAAATAATCTTTTTCAGCAGTTCTATTTCCCTAACATATTAAATATTTTCTATATTATACTAATTGCCAGCATCCCAATTTATTGTAGGTTGATGCTGAGTCCAGTTTTTATCAACTTACCTGGGAAATATTTAGAAGCACTCTCAACTACTTGCCATCTTTTATATCTACAAGATTTATTTTATCTATGGCTAGTAGATGTTGGGTGTGGTTTCATGTGGTTTAGAAAGCAGGTGGGCTCTCAATAGCCAAAAAGATGCTTATTTGGGCCATGATTTAAACAGTTGGATGCATAAAATTTTTAGATTGGCATGCTTGTGAGCTAATAGGACTGACTCAGTCTGCTATAAACAAGTAGACAACATAAGGCCAATGTACAGAGACCGTCTTTGGCTCATTTATACAACACAAGCATATCAAAAGGCTTCTGTTTTTTTTAGTACTTCAAGTTTGCTGATACAAGAAATATCTTCTTAAAGCAGTTACAGAAATTCTTTGGTGCCTGGTGACATGTTGAGTCAGTCAAAGCTCTACACAGTGCAGTTAGACTTTGCTATTCCACTCACACAGTCCTTTTATGTTTGAACCAGTGTTCATGGACTATCCAAACAGTTGCTATATCTGAATAGCTTTGTCTTCAATAGGACTTCATCCTAGAATCAACACAAGAGATCATCTAAATAACTATTTTACCACTGGTTGTCATGGGAATATATCCTATCTTCTAATGATAACTGGACCCTTATTACATAGCCAACAGATTTGTACTTCTTTGAATGTTAATTGCCTACAACCACTTCATGAAGCAATTTTTGTACCAGTCAAACTTTACCTACAGGTAGATAACATAATTCATTCTAGTTAGTTCACGCAGGAAGGATTTAATACAGGGAATTAGATGAATGCAGAATTGTACAGGAGCAGACTTCAGACTCAGTTCTAAGGAAAACTCACACTCTCTAGAATCCTCTGTCACAAGTATACCACAGCAAAAGGTTGAAGACTGAATACTGTTGTTGCTTCTGAGTATAATACCACATTACCTCTTTCAGAATCCAGGTCAGAGATAAGAGGCTACTTTACCTCCTCCCTTTCTTAACATAACACATTTCTTAATTTAAGATTTGGGGATTGCATCCCCCTCAATTCATTCATTCATCCCTTCCTCCCTTCATTCATTCAGTCCTTAAGTATTCATATACATAGTCACTGCTCAAGGTGTTGGGGATACAACAGTGAAAACAATACAAGCATGTCTCTTCCTTATAAAGGCAGGGAGAAAATAGAAATTTCTTTATATGCTATGTCACAGGACAATGAATGCTTCTGAGAAAATTAAAATCAAATAAAGGGAAAGTGCTATGTTAAAAAAAAAAGGGGGACATTACTATTTAATGTGCCTCTATCTGGGGAAGCTTCAATGATGTATAATAATTATGGTAACATTTGAGCGTAGACTTGAAATAAGTGAAGGGAAAATGTTATGAACAAGTCCTTGAGAAGAGGATTCTAGGAAGAGAGAAGAATAGGCAGGAGCCTATCCCACTGAGGAGGGTTTGGCTAAGCAAAAAAAGGGACTGGAAGACAATAAGGTTAGAGTAGCGTGACTGGTCTGGATTAGGTGGTGATTTTTTAAACCAGTCTAAGAAATTTAACAGTTCTTCACATGAAATGGGAAGACATTGGGAGGCCCCAAGTAAAGGAATGACATGTTACAGAATATTGTATTATTTTATTCTGGCTACTCTGTGCAGAATAGAGCAGTAAGGTCAGCAGAGGACTACAGAAAAAAAGCGAGGAGGCTAGAGTAATCCAGTCAAGAAGTTACAATGCACTGCACGAGGACAATGGTGATCAAAGGAGTGAGGTGTCCATTTCTGGATATATTTTCAAGGTAAACTGTGTAGGATTTGCTGTCAGCTATAAAAGAATAAGTCCAGGATGACACCAACATTTTTAACCTGACAAACTAAAATAATAAATTTGCCACTGATTGTGATAACAAAAAAAGGAGGTAGAACAGATTTGGAGCAAAGGAAATATTATGAGTTCTATTGTGAGATGTTGAATTTGAGAAGCTTAGCAGACATCCAGTAAAGATGTTGAGTTCATGGTTAGATGTACATTTGGAGTGGAAGAGAGCTAGAGATATAAATTTGGGTCTTATCAACATACAGACAGTTTTTAAAGCCATGCACTAAGTAACATTATCTAGAAGTACAGGAACATAGATTAGAGAAGAGATCCAAGGATTGAACTCCAAGATACTATAAGGTTTAGTGCTATGGAAATGGAAGGTAATCTGTCCGTTGAGACTAAGAACACCCAGAGAGAATAATTGTCTGTACTATAAGTAAAGAGCATATTTCAGAAAGAAATAATGTGCTGTAGCAAATGCTGTTTGCAAGTCAAATAACACAAGAACAGGGAATTGACCATTAGATGCAGTTCTGCTGAAATCAATGGTGATCTCAACAATTGGCAAGAATGAAAATTTGACTAAATAGGATCAAGGAAGAATGAAAGAATATAGGAGACAACAAATCATTCATGGGGCTAGAGCTGAAAAATATGTAAGTCAAATAAGTTTTTGAAACAAGATATTACAACATGTTTATATTCTGATATAATGACTCATTAAATACTAAAAATTGGATGATGCCACTGATATAGAGGAACAAAAATAATAGGATATCATTGGGACATCAAAGGGTCATTGAACACAAGTGAAATGCATCCAGATGAACAGGAGAAAGGAAGAGTATATGGTGGTGGTGTTCAGAAAATCTTTTTTGATTGCTTATATTTTCTCAGTGGAGATGGGAGGGGCAGAGGTGGTATTGTTTTTGAGGTTTGAGAAGGTACGTAACATTCATCTAGGTTAGGAGAAGAGGGAAGAGAACAGTGAAATATAGAATTGCCAGGTAGAACAAAGCATGCAGTTGAGGTTAATGGTCATGAGTCTAGGTAAGATTAATCAGTATGGTTGTTTGATTTTTTGTAATGGTTTTTACTGCTCAGGTGTGGGCACAGTATGAAGGAAGCTGAACTTAAATCAGCACTAGTACTTTTCCAAGTGAGCATGAAAGAGACATAGAGAAGCAACACAGTTGAAGGTATAAGCAATAGTATGCTCAGAAAGATGAACCATGCAATAACAGTAAATTGATAATATTCTTAAATTTTATGTCCTACTCATATAACACTCTTGCAATTGGGATATAGAAGAAAGGTGCTAAAAACATAGGAGGTAGCCGACAGAGTGAGGTGTTTGAACTTGAGAAGTGTGCTTTTGAACAGTGAAACAATCAGGCATATAATCTTAATAATAGGGGCCTGGAGCAAGGCCAAGATCATTGGAGGACAAAAGACCAAGAAACAGCAAAAGCAAACGTATGAAAAGATTATCTACATTGATATTGAAATCACTATGAGTTATCACTGGGTTGTATTAGAAGGAATGACAGAAAAGCCAGGAGCTTAAATGTTCAAGCAATGCCAGGAATGGCTCTGATGTCTGAGGAAGGGTATAACAAGAAGAGAAAGTGTAGTATATTTTTAAAAAACTCAATCCTAAAACTGGAAATGAAAGTTTCCAAGGTGTATACAAAATAACTTTAAGCTTTTTAGACTCTGCATATTAAGATGGCTTGGAAACAAGTGTTGAGTATGCCACTCTAAGAGTTCACCATAAATTTCATTCTTATATGCAAAATTCTGCGTATATGTCTATGCAGATTCTGGGGAGGGTTTTGGGAGAGGGACTGTACCTTTACTCATATTCTCAATGGGTTCATGATCCCAAAAAGTTTTACAAAGATGTATAAATATTACCTTTAATTAAATATTTATTGCCTATCTATTTGTCATGTATTGTTCTTGGAACAGGGTCTCAAAGATGTGTAAGATAAAATCTTTATCATAAAGTTTCTTAAAATCAGGTTCCTCATGGAGCAGGAATAAGACTTGTAAGGGAAAAAGTATATTACAAGGTTAATTTGATTAAGTGCTAAGGGTAACAGGAGTGACGTGTGTATAGGATTGTAAGTGAAGAAGCTATTCATTGTGACTAGATGGCTTGGAAAAACCATAAAAGAAACAGCAAACTTGAATCGGATCTTAAAGTATAAGGA